TATTCAATTTTAAAATTAAAGAGAATATTTTATTTGAATCAATTTAAAATTAAAAATCTTATAATAATAAGCTATTTTTAGTATTAACAACTTTAATGGTACTTTAGTCATTTTAACGGGAAAAAAATATTCTTCGGTCCTTTTTTACATACCTATACACTATTGGAAACTTTATTACCAAAATTGTCCATATTTTGTTATTTACCCGACCTACACAAGTATTATCTACAAAATATATACATTCCACCTTAAAAGGCTCCCAATCCATTATTAGTGCCTTCAATCAAGAGATTTAATTACACTCTTTTCCTCTCTTTTTTCTCCTCTTCTCTTTCCTACGGACATCACATTTGAAATAGCCACATTCTCTGGATCTTCCCAGACAAAGACTGTTTTCTGCTACTTTTGAATTTTTTTTTCTTCTCTTTTTCCTTGTAGCAAATCTCATAAGCATCAGCAATGGCAATATTTATCAAATTATATACAATAATGTCATTTCAGAATAAGGTCATGAATGCATATAGGAATAACACCAAGCAATATTAACAGCTTGTTTGGATGATGGTTATGTATTGTATTGTATCGTATTGTTACATTAAATATGATGTTTGTTTTGCTTGTTACTTAAATTTTATTGTATCGTACCATTAAATCCGTCGTTACGTAACAACGAAATGTGCCACTTTATGTAACGACCGATTTGGTGTGGTTGCGTCGTTATCTTGTCTTTTTATCTCATTTCACCCTTCACTCTTATTAAATAATTATTTTATCATTTACTCTACCTTTTTATATAATAAATTCACCTTGTATCATAATTTTTCTTTATAATATTGCAAATTTATTCTTCATATTGCTGGTGCATGATATCATGAAATAACAACAAACGATACAATCTATCCGAACATTGTATTTATCAAATGATACAGTACAATATAATACAATACGATACGATACATTATGAAACGACGTGTAACAACCATCCAAACAAGCTGTAATGGAATCCAACTACAGAAAAATTGGTTATAAATTATTGATGCAACTTCATTAAATATATATGTGCTACCATAAGACGTTCGGCACAGTTTATGTACGTATCTATAAGCTTAGATACTTCATGTTATAAACTGTCATCAGTGTATGAGTAAATGTAAGTTGTACTTTGAAATTTTCTGTTCCAAACTTGTAATTAGCATTTTTTTTGAGACTAATGTAATAAATTTTGATGTAAGCGTAAAAACTTCTCTTTTTGGACGGTCAACTTATTCATCTTCATCATCGTCATTCTTTCCATTCCTTCCTATTTCATTCTAGAATAGACAAATAGTACTAAAATAATAAGTGAAATAATCGTCATCTTGTTAGATTATTGTACGTGCAACGAAATCAATTTCAATACTCACATGTATCAAATTTCATACAACTAATTATATATTATACAACTTATCTACAACTTTCACACATGATTTCTACCCAGTTAAATACAACTACAATATCATACAACTTAAATAAAAATTTTATATAATTTTTATACAATATGTCTTTTGTATATTTTGTATCTGATTTATACATAGTAAAAAATAAATTTCATACAACTAATTATATATTATACAACTTATCTACAACTTTCATACATTGTTTCTACCCTGTTTTATACAACTACAATATCATTCAACTTAAATACAATTTTTATACAATATTGTTCAACTTTCATACAATATTTAAATAAAAAATATATACAAACAACAGAATACAATTTTTCTACAACTTTACTACAAATTCGTAAGTATAATGTATGTCATGTCTTCTTCTTCTTCTTCTTCTTCTTCTTCTTCTTCTTCTTCTTCTTCTTCTTCTTCTTCGACTTCTTCTTCTTCTTCTTCTTCGAGTTCTTCTTCTTCTTCTTCTTCTTCTTCTTCTTCTTCGAGTTCTTCTTCTTCTTCTTCTTCTTCTTCTTCTTCGAGTTCTTCTTCTTCTTCTTCTTCTTCTTCTTCTTCTTCTTCTTCTTCTTCTTCTTCTTCTTCTTCTTCGAGTTTCAATATGTAATTCAGCCAAAATCAAGTCTAATCTTCACCAAAATACCCTCAAAATTGAGATATAAACTCCAAACCATATTCCAAATTATTTGCAACGACACCCAATCGAAACAAATAATGGTTTTTGAAAACCCAAATTCGAATTCAAAGCTTTTTAATGGCTGTCAATGGTGGAATTGCTGCTCTCTTTTTCTTTGCTTTACATTACTGGAATTAGGGATTGAGAGATAGAGAGAGACATAAAAGAATTCCCAATTGTTTACACCCAATTTAAATAAATAATATGTTTTAAAAACCCAAATTCGAATTCAAAGCTTTTTAATGGCTGTCAATGGTGGAATTGCTGCTCTATTTTTCTTTGCTCTACATTACTGGAATTAGGGATTGAGAGAGAGAGAGAGAGAGAGAGAGAGAGAGAGAGAGAACTAGAATTAGCTACGAACGTCGTCGCTAAATCGCCCGTAGCTAGCAGATTTTTTTGATAATCTGTCGCTAATCTATCGCTAAATGATATTAGAGACGAATTTTTCTGTTTAGCTACAGAATTTATTCGTCGCTAAAACAAGATATTTTTAGTAATGGAGAGAGAGAGCAGGAGGGAGAGAGAGAGAGACGGAGAGAGAGCACACGAGGGAGAGAGAATAAGAATTGAAAATAATTGATTCCTAATATAAAGGGATACTCATTTAATTCCTAAAGTGTATATAATTGGTAAATTTGTATATAGGATGTAATTAAAGTGAAACTTGAGTAGGGAGAATAATAAAGTTTCCAAAAGTGTACATGTATGTAAAAATTTCTTTATTCAAACACTTTAAATTTTCTTTGATTGGTTCAACCGTCTCTTTAATGACGTTAAGAGGACCTAAACTTGTAAGACGGATCTAAACGAACAATATTGATAGCAACTGGATTAGTTTGATATTGAGACATAAATGTTGTAGCTGATTCAACAGTCCTATGCCATATTGACACGCGAGAAGCTGCCAAATAAAAAGTTACGCCTAAAACAATAGGAAGAACAGATTTCCAAACTTCACATTCTTTTCTTAAGCTCGTACATCCAAAAAGCAACTCTAGTAAAACTTTTGACGGGGGAAAAAAAAGCAACCAAAAAAACACTCTAGTAAAACTCAGGTAACAGATCTACTCCAGATTTTTGTTTGAAGCAAGAGACTCCAGAGCAATGTCACCGATGACAAGAGCAGTAGTAGGAGGTGTTGGGTGTGCGAACAAAGTCGGGAGAAATTCAAAAATAGCCAGATTTACCACTGGTCGTTGAAAAATAGCCAAGTTTCAAAAGTCATCGAAATTTAGCCACTTTAAATTTGAGCGAAAACACTGTTCAAAATCCGAAAAAATACGCCCGCAAATTTTACGGGAGTTCCAGCATAAGTATGCTTGAACTCCCGTAAATTTTACGGGAGTTCCAGGATAACTATGCTGGAACTCCCGCAAATTTTACGGGAGTTCAAGCATAATTATGCTGGAACTCCCGCAAAATTTACGGGAGTTCCAGCAAGTATAATTGTCCAGTATAATATACTGGAGTTTGGAGCACTGGTGCTCCAGTCTCCCGCAAATTTTACAGGAGTTAGTAAAGTATACCGGTCTAGCATAATATGCTGGAGTTCGTACACAAATGCACCAGAACTCCCGTATATTATACTGGACCGGTCCCTGTTGCAGCAAAATAGTGGCTATTTTTCATTGACTTGATAAACGCTGGCTATTTTTCATTGACCAGTGTGAAAACTGGCTATACCATGATATTTGGACAACAAAGTCTCACATTGGTAGCTAAAAAGATTGGGAGTCTACATATAAGGTGTAGGGATCTCTTAATGGTGTGAGGCCTTTTGGGAAAAACCGTGCGGGCTTGGCCCAAAGCGGATAATATCACACCATGTTAAGAGTGTCATTGGACCGTTTTAGCCCAACAACCGGCACCGGAACGGCGGTTGCGTTGTAATAGTGAGAGTCACTGAGGTTATAACGAGCCATAGCTGGTGGTTTAGGACAAGTAGGTGGTCCAACTGGTGGACAAGGTGCTCCCTTCATGAAATCACAACGGCATCTCCACCAATAAATTCCTCCATCAGGTGCTACACAATAAGTATACACTAGCCCAACGCCTCTGTAGCATGGTCTACAAGTTTCATAGCATGCATTTTTATCAGGGCAACCACCTGGTATACTGTCTAAGTAGCAAGCATCTGTTGGCGTTACCATACTTTCCACTATCAAAACAGGGTTTTAAAAAAAAATTGTTAAACTTAATACACTAACAATATTGTAAAAACTTTTTATTACCTTCAGGTCACCTAAAAGAAAATTACAAAAAAGCATTCTTAAAAATTAAAATCATCAACCTAAAAAATAAGACAGATTACTCGTTATAACCAGATAAAATACATTAGTAGTGTAATAATTCTTTGACACTATGGTTAAATTAAAAAAAAATCCTTCAAATGAAAATTAATGCCAATTAACAATGGGAAAGTAAATTTTATCTTAAAGTAGCAGGAGCACTTTAGATTGAATTTCTCGAAAATCATGTGAAAGTACCTGAAAGATATGCTAGAAAAACAAGAACTAAGGTTGCGCACTTGGCCATTGTGAATCTCTTGAATTCAGAAACCAAACTGTTACCAGACTCTCTTCAATTTGTTTGCCTCTGGGAGACTATTATTAGTATATGCTAACTTTTGGGATAAAAAAATGGAGAAGCCATGTTCTGTACTTAAAAGTTGCTCCCATTTAATAATCAGTTTATATTTTCATTTTCCAGTTGCGCTGACTTGCTACTTAATTACTTAGGAAAATGATATTAATTTCATATTCGCACATTTTTATTTTTAGTAGGCTACATTTCTAACTTTAAATCTCAAGCCCTTGAAGATTTTGGGATAAGAATGAGATTAAATGCATTTTTCTTCACAGAAAGAAGAGGATACGAGGAGCTCAGCGTAAGGTTCTCTATTTTTTATGTGTTAAAAGGGAGGAACTTTATTTATGTTACAAAAGTTACATTGTACTCGAGAAGATATTAGAAGATGCCGATAATGCTATGCCACAGAAGACGCCCATTTATTTTAAGTACATCTACTAACAAAGACAAAGCTCTCACTTCATTCTTGCTGCCTCGTGCTAAGGGGGCAGATTTACCTTAGGCCAAAGGTGCCTCGTGCTGTCGTGCATGTCTACAACTTAGAAAACAAAGTCCAAACTTGAAGAACCATATTGTCGTCCCCTTGTTCTTTCTTCCCTCATCTGTTGCTGTCGCTGCTCTTGTCCTGCTACAAAATAGGACTGATCTTGCTTCTGCAAGATTTCTTCCACCTCCCTTGCTGGCATGTTGAATGACACTTCTTTTGCTTCTCTGTCTACATTTCTCCATATGCTTTGTCGGCCTTAAATTCAAACCAGCAAGAATTTAAAAGAGACTTAATAATTTCTATACACTGATAATGTAAATAATTACACGTAATTGTTAATAGAAAGTGGAATTAGTACCATGAAAAATATATAAGATGTTCCGACTATGTCAAGTAATAAAGAAATTAAATGAGGAAACTAACACCATACCTGCAAGGAAGTTCATTCTGTTGTTATGAGCATTGAATCCAATACCAACCATTCTGAGATCTGAATCCCCGGTGGCTAAAACGGTAATAGGATGGCCTGCATGAATTATCATAACATCACCAACTGATAGAGAACCTTGGACTTTCTGGTAGTGGTGCCGCCTTCTCTGGCTTTGGCTACCAAGATGACGGCATGCCATTTCAAAGCGCCCATTTCCTCTACAATCATGACAACCATGTTGTCCTTGTACAGTGACTGGTATACATCCCCCTNTATCATAACATCACCAACTGATAGAGAACCTTGGACTTTCTGGTAGTGGTGCCGCCTTCTCTGGCTTTGGCTACCAAGATGACGGCATGCCATTTCAAAGCGCCCATTTCCTTCTACAATCATGACAAACCATGTTGTCCTTGTACAGTAGACTGGTAATAACATTCCCCCCTGCAAAATTAATTCTAGAACGTTCAAAAGCAAGGTTCGGTTATATAAATCTTCATCGTCCATATCGCTCCATTCAGTATATGTCCATTTCGTAACACTAGGGACGTTAGTGTTACGAAAGTAATCCAATGTAAGGTCATCTCTGAAATTATTTAAATTGAAAAGTCAGCTTACTTGGTTGATGTTCATGATACCAGCAGCAGCATCTAAATCCCTCAACTGTTCGAATCTCTCTGGGGTTGCTTCAAAGTAGTGTCCAAATCTGTTTTCAAGTAATGGGCGTTCATTCAATAGATTGAAAGGACCTCTAGTTTGTTGCTTAGTGGAGCGTGAAGCGTGTTCGCTAATTGCTCTAATTTGCTCTTCAGATGCTTTGACAAATACTCCCTTTCTTTGTTGTCCAAATAGCCCCTCTATCGTGTCCCTTGGGGTCTAATGAATTATAAGAGCAAATACAAGTAATTAAGATTGCAAGTAACGTGAACCAAAACACTGAGTAATTCTTTTGCTGGATTAAGCATCTGTCTTACATTGAAAGCAGTCTCCAGAATCTCACTGCTGAAAGCTCGGTAGAAGGATTCTGTAATGTCTGAAGAAATAAATTAGGAAAGTGGGCGGATATTTCTATATGGGGACCCTATTTCTATATTGGGGTTATATCAGAAGTGGACCAGACTAAGCTTTGGGCTCAAATAAAGTAGTCTTACAACTATTGGGCCAACGGAGATAGATAGAGCAGGCTCATTTACAATTAGCCCATTAATAATTCAGCATAAGTGAGGAGTATTAATATGCAGAAGAAGGAAGAAAGCATCAGACTAATTCTGGTAATTTTCAGTTACAACTTCCTAACCAATTCTCTCTCTACCTATCTCTCGTTCTTCTCATTTCTAACCTCTTTCTCTTCTTCTTCTTCTTCTTCAGGTTATCAATGGCGTCAATGTAGTTCTAATGTAGAGATACATTGTAACATTTCCAATTCCATTACATATCAATAAAGAAATTCTATTCTTCTCATTATCTTCTTTTCAAATTCTATTACAATTTCTAGTATATTACCATTGATATCAGAGCCTAATCCTGGCACTGTGACAACACCAGAAACTCGAGCCAAATCCACGGAGGAAAATGTCAAAAAACTGGAGACCCAGTTACACAGTTACATGGCAGAAACAAATAAGAAACTGGAATCCACTTCCAAAATGGATGATCTAAATCACAAAATTGATATCATGATGGATAAGTTGTTCGTGAGCAAGGATGGAATCCTTGGTAGTGCTCCAGCTGAGGCTCACCAAATGGATGGATCGAGCAGCAGAATGAGGATGATGGAACCACAGGAGAATTCATCTGGAAAATTCTACTCGAACAACACTGCTGCTAAAGTGGACTGCCCATACTTTGAAGAGGGAGATCCCAGATCTTGGCTGCGAAAATATGAAAAGTACTTTCATTATAATCGTATAATTGACCCACAACAAAAATTAGACACTGCAGTTCTTCACTTAAATGGGAGGGTTGAGTCTTGGTTTTTCTCCTATCAATTGAGTAGAGGAATGGTGAGATGGCCAGATTTTGTTGAGGAGATTCGTAAAAGATTTAATAATTCTGATAATAGTCATCTAAATCTACTGGGAAAATTTAAGAGAATTGAACAAAGGGGAACAGTAAATGAATATCTAGAAAAGTTTGAAGATTTGAAAGCTTGGGTACTAATCAAACACCCAACTATTCCTGAAGAATTCTTTCTAGGATTTTTCAAAAGGACTTAAGGAAGAAATCAGGCATATAGTCAAAATGCTTGATCCATTTTCCCTAAGTCAAGCTGTAGAAAAGGCTAGACATAAGGAGGAATTGTTGGATTCAATAAGTAGAAAAAGTAGAGGTGGTGCAGGAAGACAGTCAAACCAGTATAATTCACATACTGGGACAGCAGAGGGTAGAACATTTGGGAATATACAGAAAGGGAGTTATTCTAATTCCACCATCTCTGGTAATAAATTGTTTGAAGCAAGAAAGGCCAGCGGTGAATGCTATAGGTGTGGGGAGAAGTACTTCCCAGGTCATCGATGCAAGGATAAGCAATTGAACACCTTGCATGGTACTACTCATCAAGAGGCAATAGAGGAAAGTTAGAGAATAGAAGAAATAGAAGAAATTGAGAATGTTCAAGAAGAGGTAACTGATGAAGCCATAAGCCTCAATGCTTTATCAGGAACTGTGACCTCTAATACCATCAAGTTAAAAGGGATGTATGAGAAACAAAAGTTGATAATTTTAGCTGATAGTGGCAGCACTCATAGTTTTGTGGCTAGCAGTTCTGCCAAACAGTTGGGGTGTGTGATTAAGGAAGATGCACCTATGAGGGTTACTGCAGCTAATGGCAGTCATTTGATGAGCTATCATTCCTTTTCTTCATTCAAATGGAAGATACATGGTATTGAATTTGAGCACAAGCTAAAATTGTTAGATGTGGGAGGGTGTGACATGGTATTGGGAGTAGACTGGATGAGGAAACACAATCTAGTCTTATTTGATTTTATTGGCTATAGACTCCAAGTGAGTGTCAATGGCAAAAGAGTGGAATTGAAGGGATTTTCTGAAGAAGGCCAACTACAGGCCATGACTGCTTCTGGGGTTAAACAATTGCTAAAGAAGGGACAGGTGTTGTGGGCACACTTATTCTCAATCTCAGCTAAGGAAGTAGAAGTGACAGCAGAATTACCTGAAGAGATAAGATTAGTACTCCAGGACTTTCCCAAGGTGTTTGCAGAGCCAAAGTCCTTACCACCAAGGAGGGACCATGATCACTATATTCCCCTCAAGCCTGATGCAGCACCTGTAAGTATCAGACCCTACAGATATAACTATTTTCAGAAGAATGAAATAGAGAAACAAGTTAATGAAATGTTGACAAATGGAATTATCCAGCCTAGTCATTCCCCAATCTCCTCACCAGCACTTCTAGTTAAAAAGAAAGATGGTAGTTGGAGATTTTGCATTGACTATAGAGAGCTTAATAAAATGACAGTTAAGGACAAATTTCCTATACCCTTGGTAGATGATTTAATAGATGAACTCAATGGATCTTGCATCTATTCAAAGATTGACTTGAGGGCTGGTTATCATCAAATCAGAATGAGTGATGGTGATATTTTTAAAACTGCATTCAGAACTCATTTAGGACATTATGAGTTCAAGGTCATGCCCTTTGGCTTGACCAATGCACCTGCCACTTTTCAAAGCCTAATGAATCATGTTTTCAAACCATTTCTGAGGAAGTTTGTGTTGCTGTTCTTTGATGATATATTAGTCTACAGTCCTACATTAGAAACTCATGCACTTCATCTTAGAACAGTGCTAGAAGTTCTACAGAAGGAGCAGCTGTATGCCAAATTGTCCAAATGTTCATTTGGGTAGGACAAGGTAGAATATCTAGGACATATCATTTCAGGAAGGGGGGTAGCTACTGATCCTGCTAAAACTGAAGCTATGTTGTCCTGGCCTGTGCCAAAATATATTAAGGCCCTTAGAGGTTTCCTAGGGCTCACAGGCTACTATAGGAGGTTTGTTAAGTCCTATGGGGTGATTAGCAGACCCCTAACAAACCTACTCAAAAAGAATGCATTTCAATGGAATGAAGAAGCAGAAGTGGCTTTTCAGCAACTGAAAAAAGCTATGGCAACAGTACCAGTTTTGGCTCTAGCTGACTTTACTAAGCCTTTTGTAGTGGAGACTGATGCATGCTCCACTGGGATAGGAGCTATTTTGATGCAGTCTGGCAGACCTATAGCTTATTTTAGTAAGGCTCTTGCTCTTAAGCATAGAGGACTTTCTACTTATGAGAAAGAATATATGGCTGTGCTATCAGCCATAGACAAGTGGAGATACTACTTACAAGGAGGGCATTTCATTGTGAAGACGGACCATCAGAGTTTAAAGTACTTACTGGAGTAGAAGGTAACTACATCATTACAACAGAAAGGCCTGACAAAACTTCTGGGACTGGATTATGAGGTACAATATAAAAAGGGGGTAGAAAACAAGGTGGCAGATGCTTTATCCAGTAGATATGAGGAAGACTCTACACTCTTAGCCCTTTCCACTACTCAGGCTACATGGATTGAAGAAGTCTGTGAGAGCTATGAATCAGACCCTTTAGCCTCACAATTACTCAGTGAACAATCAATTTCTCTCTCCACCAATCCAGATTATTCATTGCAACAGGGAGTCATAAGGTATAAACACAAGATATACATTGGGAGAAGCACTACTTTGAAAACCAAGATTTTAGAGGCCTTGCATCAGTCACCTATTGGAGGGCACTCAGGCCAACAAGGCACCTATAGGAGAATACAGTCTATGTTCTATTGGCCAAACATGAAGATAGAGATTTGCAAATGGGTAAGTGAGTGTGATGTGTGCCAAAGAGTTAAATCAGAAAACATTCACCCACCTGGGCTTCTACATCCCCTCCCTGTACCCACACAGGCTTGGCAAGACATATCATTAGACTTTGTAGAAGGTTTACCCATTTCTGGGCACAAAAATGCAGTTTTGGTAGTAGTGGATAGATTGACCAAGTATGGGCACTTCCTGGCACTCAGACATCCCTATACAGCCCAAGATGTTTCAGAATTATTTCTCAAGGAAATAGACAGGTTACATGGATTGCCAAAGACTATTGTCTCTGATAGAGATGCTGTTTCCACCAGCCATTTCTGGCAACATCTCTTCAAAGCTTTAGGCACTAAGCTCAACATGAGCACTGCTTACCACCCTCAATCTGATGGGCAGACAGAGTGACTCAACAGGTGCATGGAAACCTATTTGAGAGCTATGGTCTTCAATAATCCTAAGCAGTGGGGAAAATGGTTACACTTAGCGGAGTGGTGGTACAACACCAACTATCACAACTCCCTCAAGACTATACCTTTTCAGGCACTCTATGGGTATGCTCCTCCACAACTTCCAATGGGGTCCTTACCACAGATTGGTCATCAGTCAGCTCGAGAGTGCCTAGCTCAGAGACAACAGATGCTACAATCCTTAAGAGACAATTTGACTCGGGCTCAATCTAGAATGAAGTTCTATGGTGACGAGCTAAGATCTGAACGAGTATTAGAGATTGGAGATCTAGTATACCTTAAGCTACAGCCATATCGACAATCTTCCATCGATGTCAGGAGAAATGTCAAGTTATGTGCTCATTTTTATGGACCTTACAAGGTCATGCAAAGGATCGGAACAGTGGCTTACCGGCTGGAGCTTCCTGAAGGGTCTCAGCTGCATCCTGTCTTTCACATCTCTCAGTTGAAGAAGCGTGTTGGTCCATCCATTACTCCACAGACACATCCACCAATTTGTGATGGTGAAGGATGAATCTTGATCCAGCCTGTTGCAATCCTTCAAAGGTGTATGGTGAAAGAACATAATGGTGTGGGGGTGAAAGTTCTGGTACAATGGGCAAATTAAGGGAGGAGGATGCCACTTGGGAGGATTGGAGCTATATCAAAAGCAGATTCCCTGATTTTGTTGCTCAACAAAGACCTTGAGGACAAGGTCGTTCTTGGAGAGGTAGGGATTGTAATGTCTG